ATCAGAACTCGTAGGGTAGATTTCTGAAAAACATTTTTAAGGATGTAGGACAAGGACTCGTGGTGTCAATTTTCAACAGAGAGAGGATTGAGGATCAGTACGAAAACAAAATTGGTCCTTGGAATTGAATATTATTCTATAGCAAACAATTGGTGCTTAAAATTGTTTGTGTAAAAAAATCCGTCCGACGAGGAATTTTTGCTATGAACCAAGATATTTCCAAAGTTCTGATTTTGTTTCCTATAGAATAAGACAATTCGCTGGGAGGTAATTTTTATTTTTATTGTTTTCAATAAAAGCCAATGGGCGGAGTTGTATAGACGGACGTGGCCGACAACGTCCACGAAAATCTAAATTTCTGCGGTTCTATATTCTGAGCCTGGTAAATATTTCGTAACAGCTCCATTTTCTAACCCTGGTATATTTTCCAAATATTATTTTCCGGAGGTGAATATGTACGCCATAAAATAAACATTTTGTCACTTTAGATTTTGGTTGATTTGACCGTCGGAATATTGACCGAACAGCCGTTCTATGTATTTGATCATATTCGAAAATTATAGGCGTCGTCCGGAACTTCATGTGAAATTTCATGACGATCAGCGCGACATTTCTGCCCTCTGGTGTGGGCAATATCATAACACATATATACCTTTAATTATTTACGTATAACTCCACACATCCGAGTACATGCTGCAATAAATTAGTATCGATTTAAATGTGAACCATTGCTCTTAGATGTACTATCAACTTCTCGGATCTACGTCCTGTAGGAGTAAATATATACACCCCTGAATACAATTTTTGTCACTTTTTACACAAAAGTCTGGGTCCATTTGACCTGATAAATATTGACCGATCTTCATGAAAACAGTAATGCTTATTCTTTGGCCAGATTCCCTTCCTGGTGTAAAATTTCGTGGGGTTCGGGTCATACTTATGTCCTCTAGAGCTCTTGCATCAATGAATAATACATCAGAACCGAAAAAAATGAGTACTGATTTTTTCTCTGTTTTGATGTGTGGGAATATTTATATTTATAATTATTAATTACAGGCAAATTGGTTAAAAGATTGCGGGTATCGCTGTAAAAATCCTAGCAGCAGTAACAAGGGATGAGCTAATTTAATTAAACAAAATCATTTACCATAAATACCTGTAGGCAGGATTGAGGATTGTCACCTTGGAATCTGTTATTAGGGGCAGTAGTTTTTCCACTATGAAAAGTCTTCTTCAGTGGTGATGTCTGATGTTTAATCAGAATCAGTCTTCAGAGCTAAAAACATTTTTCTCTAGAAAAAACTATTTTTTTTTTTTTGGCAAAATTCTTCATTTTCAGTACTGAAAAATCTACCACAATTCATTTCATAGAAAATAATGTTCTATAGACAAAAGTTGTGCAAGGATTTTTATATAAAAAAGTCCTAAATAATGGGGTTGGATTTGAGGAATGGAGAATTGTGTCCATAAAAAAATACTACTTCCACAATGAAAAATCTGTCGTCAGTACCAATTTAATTTTCTTTTTGTGAAATTCTTAGTCATGAGGCTGATTCATTTTAAAGAAAACGATTTGAAAAAAGTCCTTGTGCTAAGATTTTGTATACAACATATTTATAGTCACATAGATTTCCAAAAAGTATAAGACTTCTTGGCAAATGTAGAGCTCAAAGTCTTTTATGGCACTGAAAATGCCGTAGGTGCCTTCAACAGATTGAAAATAATTTCCAGATATTCTATTCGCAATATCAGTGTTTAGGTGCTCTATAGTCAAGAGAATGCCTTAAAATAGTATTAGAAGATTTGGATGTGACTATAGAAGATACAGAAATCTACTGTTACCTATATGTATTATAGGAGTATAGTATTGTCATTTGAAAACTAATTTTTATTAATGAAGAGAACCCTCAATACTGAATAGTTACATTTTTAAATATTCAAAATTTATCATCAGTCCTGAGAAATAATTTATACTATATAAAAAATCTCTTAGTCTCAATTACTGATTTTCTATCAAAGACAATTCTTATATTTTTTTTTAAATTATTAATTCTGAGAATTGAATTTTTAATATTTTTATATTGACCAAAATTTCTTAGTTCTGATTATTAGTTTTCTTCTGTTGGACAAAAAATTCTAACTTCTGAGAACTGACATTTTGGTTAAAAAATAATGAGGTGATATATAAAAAAGTATCCATACATCAGAAGACGTTTTTGTACAACAGTCACCAGTAATGGGGATAGATTTTTTCTTTAGAAAACAATCTCTCACCCTTACAAATATTGTTCTATAGAAAAATTTTTCTTTGAAAAATAATCCTTAATTCTGAGAACTAATTATATGTACTTACTTCTATAATGTTGTAGTATTTTCTTGGAAAATTTAAAATAGCTGATAGCTGGCAGAATTTTGTGCATGTAATTTCTCTCTCCCAAATATTTGTTTAATAAATATATAGTATATACAAATGCACATATTTCTTATTATTGGTGTAGTAGTTGTAGCTTTTTTATACCCTTCACCACACTGTGGTACAGGGTATTATGTCTTTGTGCATATGTTTGTAACAGGCAAAAGGAAACGACATAGACACATGGTTCCTCTTGACAGTATGCATAGAATCACTTTTTAAGTCGATTTATGCATGTCCGTCCATTTGTGATCCGATTTGGATGAAATTTGGCACAGTTCACTTATTTGGCCCAAGGACGAACCCTATTGAAAATGGGAAAAATCGGTTCAGATTTAGATATAGAAATTTGGCATAGGGTACTGAATAGAGTGTAGAATGATGTGTGTAAAATTTCATGAAAATCGGTTCAGATTTAGATATAGCTCCCATATATATTTTCGTCCGATTTTAGGTAAATAGTGCACCAAAGTCCCTATATATCCTTCGATTTGCACGAAATTTGGCATAGCGTACTGAATTAAGTCTAGATCGATGTGTGTAAAATTTCGTGAAAATCGGTTCAGATTTAGATATAGCTCCCATATATATATTCGTCCGATTTTATGTAAATGGTGCAACAACGTCCCTATATATTATTCATTTCATGTTAATGGTCCTTCAAAAATGCGACGTCTGTTAGGATTCCATCTGTTGAATATACCCAAAGTGGTGAAGGGTTTCATATAGTCGGCCCCGTCCGACTTTACTACTTTCCTTACTGGTTTTATAATCACCCTCTTACAAATCAAACTATTGTCACACCCTATTTTATGTTATTAAACACAAAAACTCCATTTAAATCTTAAAACACATGTTATGTCTTATGTAATGTTCAATATTTCGCCTCAAACTATTTAATACGTACATATTTACAAAACATAAAAATTAAAATAAAAAAATAAGGAAAAACTATAAAATGTAAATATGCCACATGTAAATTTACATTCAATATTTAATGTAAACTTAAAAAGGACAACATACCCTTGAAGGAGATTTATGGTGGGGTTAAAACATAAAACAAAACAAAAAGCAACATTTGACAAGTGTGTAATTACAAATATAAGGATTAAAAGAATTTTCTAATATATGCATATATATGTAAAGGATGTACTTAAAAGACAACATACAATTTGAAATTGTAATTTTTTAAATTAAAAATTACAAAAGTTTTTTTGCTCAAGGCAATGAGGAAATGATAAGCTGTATTGTAAAGCTTTATATTTTTTATTTTTTCAGGAGATTGAATTAAAATAACCAACATCATTTAAAAAACCAGTGAGTGGAGCAGTATAGTCGGACGGGGCCGACCATACGATACCCTACACAACTACCACGGAACTCTAGCTTTCTTTAGATTTTTATTACGAGCCTGGGCAATATATCAAGATAGTTGTACCCTCTTGCCCGATTAGAGGTCAACTACAACACTTCCTTAACACTGACATATTTTCCGAATATTTCTAATATTCAGTACATCCCTTCTAATTACTTGTCCAGATTGCCTTCATCGTGGGTTGGATAGTGATGTTCGGCTTATAACTGTGGCCTATAGATCGATTCGAAAAATACAAAAAAATTAAGTTTACGGTCCACTTCATCCCAAAATTATTATTTGATCATCACCGAAAATTATAGGCGTTGTCCTTGACGACAACATTTCAAAGCGATCAGCGCTATATTTCCGCCCTCTAGTGTGGTAATGGATTACTAAATAATATACGAATACGGAGATACCTGTAAATATTTAGGTGTAACTCCCACATCCGAGCACATACAACAATATAATTGGTATCAATTTAAAGGCCAACCCCTCATCTTGGATATAATATCAACTTCTCGGGTATATGTCCTTCAGGAGTAAATATACACGCTATAGAATAGAAATTTTGTAATTTTTCACACAAAAGTCAGGGTCCATTTGACCCCCTAAATATTGACCAATCTTTATCAAAACAGGCATGCTTATTCTTTGGCCCGATCCCCTTCTCCATGCAAAATTTCACGATGTTCGGGCAATTATATCGGCCTCTGGAGCGACCAGAATAACCGACAAAAATTTAGTATTTGCTCCATTGCATCCCCTAAATATTAACCGATCTTTCCCAAAAACAATACATGCAAAATTTGGTGAAGATTGGTCCATAACTGTGGCCTGTATCGTGTTTACAAATTATGATGAACAGACGGACGGACGGACACACATGTCTAGATCGACTCAGCTAGTCGAGATATGACGATCGGTATACCTAAAGGTGGGTCTAGGACCAATAATTCGCGGAGTTACAAACTTTTGGGGCTGCACAAAGCTATAATACCCTGACAACATAGTTGTGTAGGGTATAATTAATATTTGTCAGTAGATTGAAAATAATAACTAAAGGAAACTCCATCAGTTTCAATGCTCCAATGAAATTTACTCCTGATTTTTTTATTTTATACTTCGATTAATTTCACTTAGTTATTTGAGGTGAGGCTATCAATCTTCTAAAATCCACTCTTTAACATATTCTTTAATTTTTTTATAATATATTTTTACTTCACTTACCTGGCATGTGTTAAAGGAATTATTGTCGGTGGATTTGGTGGCTGTTGAGGTAATATGAGACCTCTTCGCGGTGGTGCTCGTTGTGGTAAGGAAATATCACCGGCTGAACGTAATGAAATGACACCGGTACTATCACGATTCGAGGAGTAACGTACACGACCGCCCTGCAAATATTTCAAAAACAAGAAGAAGAAGAAAAAAGTAAAAAATGTAATCGATTAGAAACAAAATGTTTAAACAAAATGTCAAATGGAAGCACTTAGCTTCCTTTTTATAAAAGTTTAACTAAGCATTACAACAAATCCATCATACTATGTCTTTGTCAAAAAAATGTTTCAAACTTTATTTTCTAGAGACATCAAGCTCACACACACATGTTCGCATATATATGCATACATCCAAAAAAAGAGAAGGGATTTAACCTTTTTTCCTGACATCTTGCAGCACTCAACAGCAACACATGTGTCTATGATAAGCTTTTATTTTAGATATTGACTGCATCATTTAGTGTTCGGTGGTGCATTTGCCCCAGCCCTGGCATAGGGCAATGGCTTCTGGGATTACAGCATCTTATTGGTATTTCTAGTTTCTTCTATTTTTACTAAGGATTTTCATATTTTCGAAAAACAAAAAAATCGACTTTAATTCCCTTAAGAAAAAAACTAAAACCAGAAAAAAATAGTTCTTCCAAAAAACTCCCTGTTACCCCCCTCAGCTGGGGATTACAAATGTAAGACTAAGATGATCGGGCAACAAAATAAGATTACCAAAGGGAGTAAATATCTGCCAAGTTCATATACACACGCATTTATTGTTATAGTGTGAGTGTGTGTGCGAAATGATTGTCAAAACAACATTTTTTTTTGTGGTAGCAGAAAGGGGAAAGTGGGGAAATGTTGTTTTTGTTTTTCTCTCCACAAAAATAAAATAAACATTTAGTTGAATGACATTTTTATTGGTAAATGGCACATAAGATGCATACAAGATGATCCCTACATATGTTGCATTCTCACACACAGGCACAGACACACTCACACATATATATGTGCAAATGCACTTTGCTTACAATGTATGAATGCCGGGCATGCATAGAATAACAAGCATAATAAAGTGTAGTCATTGGAATGTCGAATTGTGGCTTTGCAGCAAAGTGTTTTGTAATTTGGAGCACTTGGTTCCCAAGGATTTTTAGGGGGATATTTGGATTTTTGTGTGTGTGGAAAATTTAAAATAAAATTAGGGAAATTAAATAATTATTTAGGCAGGTTAATTTGATGAACAGTCGAAAGACAAACTTTATGAGTTCCACAGACAATCGAAGACTTCGTGGTATTCAATATGCAAAACTATACCCCAATAATTTCTATAGGCAAAAGAAAAACTCTAGGTCTTCTATAGTTAATTTCATATTTATAGTCACTTAGAGATCCTATGCAGGAAATATACAATTTCTAGGCAAATGTAGACCTCACTGAAAATGCTGTAGGTGCCTTCTACAGACTAGAAATAACATCTAGATATTCTTTTGGGAATATCAACGTTTAGTTATTCTGTGGACAAGAGAATATCTTAAAATGGCTCTAGAAGACTTGGAAGTGACCATAGAAGATCCAGAAGTTGACTGTTACCAATATGAGTTATATGGGAATCGTATTGACATTTGAGAACCAATTTTGATTTAAAAAATCTCTACATTTGTAATATATTTTTATAGACAGGATCATCAGTCTTGAGAAATAATTTATTCTATATAAAAATAAAACTTAGTGCCAATTACTGATTTTTTTTTCCATAGAACACAATTTCTAAGTTCTGATGATTGATTTTGTATAGAAAAAAATCCATAGTCCGGAGAACTGATTTCTTCAATTGATCAAAATTACTTAGTTCTGATTATTAGTTGTAATCTATTGGCCAGAAAATTGTAACTCCTGAGAATTGATTTTTAAAAGAAAGAAAGGTCTAAGGACCGGAAACCTTTGTTTTCTATAAAATAAATACAAATAATGAGGGGTACTGATATTTTTCTTTATGAAAAAATTTCACAGTTCATAGAATTGATTTTTTTTTATTAAAATCCGTAGTCAGTTTTTTAATGGTGGAATTATTAAAGGTGGCAGGAGGCATCAGCGTGGATATTTTTTTTATAAAAAAAAACCGTAGTTTTTCAAGGTTTATCAGAGCTATTAAGTGTGGGATTTTTAAAGGATGTTTTTCTCTGCGCTATAAGCGTGAATTTTTTAAGGGTCGTGACACATGGATTGTATTTTGAAGAATATTTTTGCAATGGCCCTCAGAGCTAGAAGTGTGAATTTTTCAAAGGACCATATAACAAGGATTAGACTTTTTTAAAATAATTTTCTTCAAGGAGCATAACACAAGGCGTGGATTTTTAAAAGGACCATTTAACAAGGATTACATTTTTTTCAGTTTTTTCCTTAAGGGTCATAACAAGGAGAAGATTTTTTGAGATTTTTCTTTAAGGACCATAGCACAATGCGTGGATTTTAAAAACGACATTTTAACAAGGATTAAATTTTTTTAAGATTTTTCATCAAGGACCTTAGCACAAGGCGTGGATTTTTAAAAGGACATTTTAACAAGGATTAGATTTTTTAAAGAATGTTCCTCAAGGACCATAGCACAAGGTGTGGATTTTTAAAAGGACGTTTTAACAAGGATTATATTTTTTTAAGATTTTTCTTCAAAAACCATAGCACAGATTTCTTTCCAAGGACCGCAACACTAGACGGGGATTTTTAAAAGGACCATATAAAAAGGATTAGATTTTTTTAAGATTTTTGTTTAAGGACCACAACACTAGGCGTGGATTTTTAAAAGGACCATATAAAAAGGATTAGATTTTTTAAACAATTTTTCTTCAAGGACCACAACACAAGGCATGGATTTTTAAAAGGACTATAATACAAGGATTAGATTTAAAAAAATCAAGCTGATAGGCTACATTAGAAAAACTCACGCTCTAGCTGCGATATACCTTGAAAAAAAAAGTTTTTGATTTGATAAGGCCTGAAATAACATATTAAAAATTGAAGGCCAGATGTCTGTTAAGGCTTCAAAAAATATGATTTAAAAATCTCAGTTAGGCTTTGAAAACATGCTTTAAAAATAGACACCTATAAAAAATCCACGCCTCAGTTAGGCCTTGAAAACATGCTTTAAAAATACACAGCTATAAAAAATCCACGCCTCAGGCCTTGAAAAAAAAAAATCTTAACAAAATCCACGCCTCAGTTAGGCCTTAAAAAATATTCTTAAAAAATGCACGTCAAGGTCCCATAGATATAACATTTCGATTTTTTAAATAGATTCTAACGATCTTTTTTTGTCAATAGAGACCCTTGAGATTTCCAGTTATTACCTGGAGAAGACCTGGATGTGCCTGTAAGAGGCATATATGTCTGTCAATGCCTGTAGAAAACCTGAACACCTTATATTTCATATTAAATTATTTATATGAGATCTTTTGTACCTAGAAAAAATTATTTTTAAAAATTTGAAAATCCACAGGCTTAATAGAATGGATTTTAAAGATTTTAAAATATCCTCTATTGTCATTGTGCGTTTAATGTGGCATATATATTTCCCGGAACTCTTCTGTTGAAGATAGACATCTTGGATGTCTTATAGTACCTATCTGACTTTTATTGCCTATCGAACACCTGAAGATTTAAAATTTCCTATTAATACTATAGGTATTATTTTATATTATTTTTAGAATTGAGGATTTTCAGTGACCTACTTGGAGAATATCTGAAGCTCTCTAACATCTATATATGTCGTGTTGGTCTTTAATTGTCCATTGAAGACCCGGAGGTATTCAAATATCTATAGAAGACATAAAGGCATTTTTTGGCTTTAAAAGACCTAGTGGTTCTCTGTTGTCTATAGAAGACCTGTACGTCCTATATTTCCTATAGAAAGCGTGGAGATCTAATATTGTATATAGACAACTTCTATAGACAATTTAATATATCGCCCTGGTATAGGAGGTCTTTAATTGGTTATAGAGGGTCTGAACTCCTTATATTGCATATAGAAAATCTACAGGTGCTTTATTGGCTATAGAAGGCCTAGCACTCTACTGTTGTCTATAGAGAACTTAAAGATCGTATTTTAATTGTAGAATGCCTGGATGTCCGAAATTGTATATAGATAAGCCCTGTTGATCCTACAGATGTTATGGAGGTATTATAGTGTCTCCTGTAGGCATTGGAGGACTTTGGTTGTTCTTAAATAACCTCATCGCTTTTTTCCATCCTATAACTTCTCTGATGCCTATAGAAGGCCCGGAGGCGTCTATTTCCTATAGAAGATTTGTCATATTTTAATTGCAGAAGGTGTGGAGATCGGAAATTCTATGTAGATGTCCTTCCAGGCCTTGTTGGACCTATTGAACAACACTAGTTCTTCAATGGGCTACAGAAAACAAGGGTATTTTAGTTATTATTTATTATGTTTTGCCTAGGCTTCACTTTCTATTCTCCATTTATTTTTTCCTATACTTCTCACTGAAGTTTTGCTTTACAATCGCATTCTTCTGTTGTCCTTTTAAATTTACATACCCAAAACCTTCATGAATGTATGTGTATTTCTTCACATTCATACGAAAATTTTGGGTTTAATGTGCCAAAAATGGGATATTCGATAACAAAAGATATTGTGTTTCTTCTGCATGTCTGCCTGTCCGGTTCGGTATGGCATATGGGTGGCGCGACAATTGTGAAATGAACGAAATACCCAAAAAATAAAAAAAAATCCACAACATCCTTTGTGATATACCACAGCAGATGGTCATCCCCATCCGAATGGTCGAAGTTGGTCAATGTGGTATTGAAAATGAACAGAGAGAGAGGTGAACTGTTACTTGGTGGCAGCATCCACTTCTTACCCCTATCTGATAGGGGGTCACACACACACACCACACCGAGCAAAGTTCAATGGCATTTTGCCATCCCGTTGGGTAAATGACTCGAAGTTCACTCTGGTAAATGTTAAATGAAGCAAGGCATCAATTAGTGGCAGGATATGCCAGGTAGGCTAAAACTTAATGAGTGGGTGGCGAAGATGGGTGCTGGATACAAATATAAACAGCAAATAGTTTCGACTAAGACCAAAGTAATGATGGGAATTTAAAGAGCAAAACCTCCTTAAATTAACTGAACTCTGATATTTAAATTGATAGGCCAATGCTTACCTGTATTGTTGCTGCTGGTCCATAATTAAGTCCCGACATCAGAAAATCATCGGGATCACTTTCATAGGGCGGTTCATCGTACCAATGACCCTGGGGATGTATACCACTGACAGCATAATGGGGACCACTACGTAAAGCATCATCGTACATATAGGTGTCATCTGCAAAAACCCCAAAACAACAACAAAAACAACACGAACGTAAATAAATTTATAATAGCAACACTAGCACACACACGGTGCCATAAAATATTTTTCCATTTAATTTTTATTGCATGGTGTTTTTTTCGGGAGAGAACACTTACCTATTTTACCTTCCCGGCCCATTTGCAGTAGACCCTTGCGTATGTCACGAAGTATCTGTGGAATAGATAGAGAAAAAAACAAAAATGAACATGAATGCATTATTTAAATATGAAATTGCAATTCCAGTTGGTGGATATGTGTGAAAAAAAAACTCAAAACCACAAAAAACTATGCTGATGACGATGATATGCTCCGGCGCTATGTGCTCCGGCTTTGTCTAGTGAAAATGTGTGAAATTGTTTCAACATTTTAGCCGCAAAATATTGTCAGAAAAAACGTGGATGATGATGACAAGAACAACAAATATATAACAGCTTCAATTAAATGCTAAAAACAGTTAAAACCAAAAATATATGGGATCTCATAACAGCGGGGTAGAGATGGAGGTGGTATGAGGTTACAGTAGGCCTATATAGATTTTAACACCCATGAAAAACATAAAGGTTATCAGATAGAGACGTGGATTTTTTTAAAGAATATTTTTTCAAAATTTTTTAAATAATACTTTCTCAAGGCCTAACTGGGGCGTGGATTTTTTAAAGAATACTTTTTCAAGGCCTAACTGAGGCGTGGATTTTTAAAGAATACATTTTCAAGGAATATTTTTTGAAAGACCATCTGAGGCATTGATTTTTAAAAGAACTTTTTAAGGAATATTTTTTGAAAGACCATCTGAGGCATCGATTTTTAAAAGAACTTTTTAAGGAATATTTTTTGAAGGACCATCTGAGGTGTGAATTTTTTAAAGAAGGACTTTTTAAGGGATTTTTTATCAAAGACCATCTGAGGCGTTGATTTTTTTAAAGAAGGACTTTTTAGGGAATATTTTTGGAGGGCCATCTGAGGCGTGGATTTCTTAAAGATGAACTTTTTAAGGATTATTTTTTGAAGGACCATCTGAGGTGTGGATTTTTTAAAGAAGAACTTATTAAGGAATATTTTTTGAAGGACCATCTGAGGCCTGGATTTTTTAAAGAAGAACTTTTTAAGGAATATTTTTTGAAGGACCATCTAAGGCGTGGATTTCTTAAAGAAGGACTTTTTAATGAATATTTTTTGAAGGGCTATCTGAGGCGTGGATTTTTTCTTCTATTGAAGGGCTGAAGGGCTTCTATTTGCTATAAAAGGCCTGAAGGGCTTATATTTGCTATAGAAGGCATGAGATGCTTCTATTTGCTATAGAAGGCCTGAAGGGTTTCCATTTGCTATAGAAGGCCTGAAGAGTTTCTATTTGCTATAGAAGGCCTGAAGGGCTTCTATTTGCCATAGAAGACCTGAAGGGCTTCTATTTGCTATAGAATGCCTGAAGGGCTTCTATTTGCTAAGGAAGACCTGAAGAGCTTCTATTTGCTATAGAAGACCTGAAGGGCTTCTATTTGCTATAGAAGACCTGAAGGGCTTCTATTTGCTATAGAAGACCTGAAGGACTTCTATTTGCTATAGAAGACCCGAAGGGATTCTATTTGCTATTGAAGACCTGAAGGGCTTCTATTTGCCGAAAGGCCTTCTATTTTCTATATAAGACATGGATGGTTTCTTTCTGTTATAGAAGACCTGAAGGGCTTCATTGTCCATAGATGACCTGAAGGGCTTGCCTATAGAAGGTCTGAATGACATTTATTGCCTATGGAAGTCCTGCAGGGCTTCTATGTAGATAAATGACTTTTATAGACATTATGTGGCCTAGGAAGACCTTAAAAGTTCTCCGCATATAATTTTCCGTAATGTTGTTGCATTACAGTTCGTCGGATATGCACGCAGTGTTGAAATAAATTCAATGAACATTTCGACATGGCCCTTTTTGATTGTAAACGACATAGTGGGGGATGGCGGCCGAGGCTGGGCCGGGTATAATGGACAGGCCTAGATATTCAAAGTATAATAAAATGATACAAGTGATGTTAAATTTATTGCCACTGCACGATATGAGTAAAGCGTTGCATTGCATTGCAAATGCAGCACTTTATGCCGATACTAAAGTACCGTAACAGCCGTAGCTGACGATGGCGATGTTGATGAGGATGATGGGAATAGAAAATCCAGAAATCAGCACGTTTGCCCGCTGTCTTTTTTTTTTTTTTTTGCTTTGGTTGTTATACGATTACAAAAACAACGATGAAAATGAGTCCACAATGCAACTAACGGGGATATATACCAAAGGATAGCAGCAAGAGTGTGAGGAGGAGGTGGAGGTACAGAAACGCTTTCTATCCACTTTTCAGGCGAAATGCAAGGCAGCAATCATCGTTTCTTTTGAGATAGATAAAAATTAGCTAAAAGCTTTCTCACGTGCTCGTGCGGCACTAAGGCAAAATGGAAGGTATCTCTCCACCTCCTCCTCTTCAATCCTCTCCCCCGGTTTTCAGTAGTGGTATTGTCAATTGAAACGGAAGGATATGCTTGAATGTATTAAAATGGCTCTAAACGTACACAAATACTACGGAAGAGAAATTACAAACACAACATACATGTGAGTGTATGTGTGTGTGTAAGAAAGAGGGGAGTCCTGTGGAAACCTGTGGAGGGAGAGTGCTGCATGTTGCAAATTCAAATGCCAGTCAGTACATTCAAATGTTCATGGTCTGGCTAAAAGTGAGCGGTAGCTATGGGATAGAGAGAGAGAGTGGAAAGAGTGACTCGGGAGAGAGCGTTTGAATAAAAAAGAACATCAAATGTAAATGGCTAGGTAACTCACACACACACACAGTGAATGGGAGAGGGGTCCCAATAGGGAACAACATATCAAGGACTTGAAGTGAATGTCGAAGAGTACGAACATTGCAGTTGTTTTTGTTTTTCATGTTCCTTTTCCGAACAACTCAAGTGAATTAAATTTTAATGTTTAAAATTTACTTTTTGCAGTAAATATAAAATTCATTATTGCAAGGGGCTGTTAGTAGCACCTCATACCCCGTATCCCCCACACTGCTACTGCTGCTGCAACTCTCGATGTTATTTTCCAGACCCCATGCTCCGTTGGCCCATGTTATTCCCTTTTCCAATGATGAGTTTCCTTGTCATTCTTCGCTTGTTTTCGGGCGGGCGGCATTGTTTGTTTTTATTTCTCTCTTTTTTTGGCCGATGTTGTTGTTTTTTTGTTGCTCATATGCATTTTCGCTGAGTGAGTGCAGTGCAACCAGCCAACGAAACAAAGAACTTCTGAAGAAGAGTATTGCCAGAAGAAGTAGGAAAAACGTCGACAACAACTACAGCATTCGCAAAAATATTTGCTGCAGCATGTCAAACCAAGGGTCCTCCAAAAAATATTCCAGAAAACGGGGGGATGGATGGTATTTTCTTTTTTTCTCATATTTATCGGTGTTCTCGCTTCTCTTAATTTAAGATTTTTTTGACGGTTGCATAATAATGCCAGTCCAAGAAGCAGCAGAGTCCCGGGGACCCTTCTCGATGCAGTTTTCTACCCTCTTTTGTTGTTTTGGCTGATGTTGCTGGAGGTTTTTGTTGTTGTCGTCATTGTCGTTTTTTCACTGTGATTATGCCATGAAGACTAAGAGCTTTTTCTTGCCGCGATTTTTCCCTGTTTCTGTTGTTGTTTTTGCTATTGCATTTCTTCGCAGGCTCTCGCTGTTGTTATTGTTATTGTTGTTTTTTTTTTAATTTTTCTACTGCTGCAATTTTTACGTTTTTGTTTTTATTGTCCCTGTTGTTGTTGGTATTTTGTTTTGTTTTTGTTGTTGATATTTTTTCGTTATGTTTTTTATAGCTTCGGTGTTTGCCATGGCTTGCTAGGACAATCACCTTTTGCATAATTACCACAACAATTTTTGTTCAAATATTCGAAGAAGAAGAAAAGACTAAAGGAACTACTTCAGAGCGAACGGCAGGAGTACATACATGTACATGTGCATATACATATACATACACATATAAATAATTCACAGGTTTACTCATACATCCAACCCAGGGGATGTACAAAGGAATACACTGCGTTCCGCTACGAAACAAGAATATCTATGGGACATGTTAGCAGAGTAAGGATACTTTTTGACAGCCTTAATTCCTACCGAGGAGATCCTGCTGACTTTTGCTGGACATAGATAGTTCAGTGTAATTTTAATGAAACAAAGGTCCACGGACCTTCTTTATCCTTATTACCTATAGCTGACCTGAAAGTCTCCTATTATCTGTAGAAGATCCGGTGGGCCTCTATTGTCTATAGAAGACATGAAGGGCTTCTAACATCTATAGTAAACCTGAAAGACTTTTATTGTCCTCGAAAGACCTGATGTACTTCTATTGTCTATGAAAAAAACTGAGTGGTTTTTATAAGCTATAGAAAAACTTTAGGAGCTTCTATATTATACAGAAAATCTGGAAGGGTTCTTATTGCCCTTGAAGTCCTGTTGGAAATAAAAGATGTGTTTGTCTTTTTTGTATAAAAAACCTAAAGGCCTTATATTAATTTTAGATAACCCTAAGGATAAAGTTTTGCTTTCGAACACCTTAGAAGATCTACAAGGCTTTTTTGGATTTGGATGGTCTTCAAGGTTTTTCCCCCTCAATTATGTGAGTGGCTTGTATTTGCTATAGATGACCTGGTGAGCTATAGTTCATATAACTATAGTTCATATGATGGGCTGATGACCGATGGGACTTCTATTTGCAGTATAAAATTTTAAACTCCATATGGCAAAAAAGTAACAGGTTTTAAATTTACCTTAGAAGGCCGTCAGGCGACATAAAGACTTAGATTGTCATTCCTTTGCCAATAGAAGTCCCTCTGGATCTTCTGAAGCTCTTCAATTGCCTACAGAAGACATATGGTCAAATATAGCCGTAACTGCTATAGAAAATATAAGCCCATTTGATCTTCTACAGCAAAAAGAAGTTCTTCAGGTATTTTATAGCAAATATACGCCATTCAGAAGCCCTTCGAGTCTTCTGTAGCAAATATAAGCCCGTTGAGTCTTATATAGCCAATATAAGCCCTTCAGGTCTTCTATAGCAAACCGAAGCCTTCAGGTCTTCTGTAGCAAACAGAAGCGCTTCAGGTTTTATATAGCAAATAGAAGCCCTTCAGGTCATCTGGTCTT